TAAAAGCACATAAGTCACAACATGTATTTAAATCAGATATTTAGCCATTATAACAATTTAAGCGACCGTGCTAGAACCACGGGATTCGAGGGTGCCTAACACCTTCCCTCGGGTCAACAGAATTCCTTACTTAGAATTTCTGGTTCGCAGACTTCATTTGGAAAGGTCGAAATTTCCTCGATTTGGGATTCAAGATAAACCGGTGACTTGGGACACCAAAAGTCAAACCTTTCCCAAGTGGCGACTCTGAACTAAATAAATAATCCCATTTCGAATATTGTCACTTAAATTGGAAAAACTCCCTCGCGCATTTAACCCTTCGGGGCGGGCGCGCAAAAAGGAGGTGTGACAGAGTTGACTAGTCTTAGGATGGAGTCAGCCAATTTTAGAATAATGATAACTGATAAGATCCAGCAGATCACGCAAATACTAGAAGCTATTGCCAAGGCCAACGGCATTGATATTACAGAAATAACCCAGCATACAGTGGGTCCGTTTGCGTCCCTTGAGCCTGGCCCGACTCTCTCAACCACCACTGATGCACCAGCTGAGGTAGCCACCATTGTGGAGCAATTAGCTAACATTAAGATGGAGTTGGCTAAATTTAGGATGGAGGTAGCTGATTTTAGAATGATGATGGATGATAAGATCCAGCAGATCATGCAAATGCTAGAAGCAATTGCCAAGGCTAGTGGTGTTGATATTACAGAAAAAGCCCGGCATCCAGTGGGTCTGTCCGTGTCCCTTGAGCCTGGCCTGACTCTCGCATCCACCAATGATGCCCGAGCTGAGATAGCCACCATAACGTCAGAGATCCCGCCAATTAAGGTTGGAGACACACCTATGCCAGAAGCAGCTGCCTAGCGGGAGTTCTCTTGACCCTACCTTTTTTTTTGCGCACATTGGGGCTAATACACAAGTCTAAGTGGTGGGGTGGGGGATTAAATTTTTGTGAATGATTGTAATTAGTTACAAACTAACCCTTCTTCTAACCAAAATGGTGTTGTTAACTTGCTGTCAAAAAATTGTATTTGGATGTATGATGCTAATAGTACTTCTACTACTACTATAGTAAACCTTTTGTTATCCCCTCCTTGTATATTTTGAAGATTTTGGACGCTATCAAACGGGGTATTAGAAAATCTTTGGCTTGTAATATTGGTATGTATTTAGGCCCTTCAGGTAATGCCTCCATTTTGTACCAATGGTAAGTGTTTAGTATAAATTATCCTTTTGCACCGAGAAGAAAAGACTACAGATGCTTTCATCGATTTACTTCATTATTAGCTAAAGCAGAGAGACAAGGGGAAGCTTAATCTAATTGTCCGAAGTGATTCTTTCTTGATTGGATGCTGAAAAATACTTTTTTAAGTATTGGAGCTGGTTTTTTTAAATAAGCAAGGGTTTCAGAACAAGGCCACATTGGGTTATATGGATGGAGCTGTGGTGGATATCTCTCAGTTATAACATTGAGGTTTCCTGAGGTATTCAAATGTGTTGTTTCTCATGTCCATCACATCGTGGGACAGGTATGATGGCTGTAATGCATTATGTATGTACACAAGATTAAAGGGAAGCTGTTACTTGTGCATGGCATGATTGATGAAGATGTGCATTTTAGGCACACTACTAGGCTTATTAATGCAGCCGGAAAGCCTTATGAGATGTTAATATTCCCAGAGGTACATCACATGCCCAGAGATGAGAGACCTTATATTCCTGGAGGAGAGAACTTTGGAATTCATAACTTGTGAATGGCATTTTCATTGTTCTAGTAGTCAGTTTTGCTCTCGCGACTCTCTGGGTAGAGTAGATTTTGGGGCTCATTTCCAGTTTAACAGCATGATTCACTTGATTATAAAAGAAATTGCACTATTCTCTGATAAAACTAGAAGAAAGGTAAGCAGGCTAACAAAGTTGTTTTGAGTAACTGATCTGTGTAATAGCTGCCATGTACCATAACCTTACAAGATGTGCAAAAATATTATTGCATCACCCACTAACCTGGCGAGCAATTTGGTTTTTACCATCTCGGCTGGTGATTAGTGAGCTTGCGTTTCCTCTTATTTAGTTTTATTTAACCCTCCTTTCTACCCCCTCCTTCCCCCCCACAACAATAGAATATAGAAATGTGAAGAAAAAGTTTAAATATGGTTTTTTATACTGTTTAGTGATGAATGCATTATATGAGTTGCCACCAGAAAAAGGAAAGAAGAAAACTGAAAAACTTAATTCAAAAGAAAGAAGCAAACCTTTAGTTGAGGGTCTCTTTTTGATAGTTGGAATTTGGAAATAAGGGCGCATAAGTTCCAGCATTATAGTTGAATGCTTGTTGGATTCTAGATAAGAGGAAGGATCACCATCTTGGACTAACTACAGGCAAAAACTCTTGTTTGCCTCTTCCTCCTATTCTTTCTCCTTCATACTCAAATAAGGTACATAGTTATTCTTTTTGTTATCTTTTTACTGTTGCATTATCCATGTCACAGTCACCTAACAAGCAACCTTTAATAAGGTGAGATAACTCCTCCCTATTTTATACTCAAAACAGAAAGAGACTACATTTCAATAACTATATTTAGCAAGGTAGTCCATGGAAAACTTCAATCACATATTTTAGTGTAGGATTTACAGCAAGCAACCTAGTAATATTCTTTAAGACTTTTAGTAAGCTAAAGGAGAAAAAGTAAAGAAAATCTTACTTCATACACCATTTAATTATACACGTTTGTCTTTATTCAGAGTGTCATTTAAAACATTTCTAAGACTGCTCCATGTCTTATACCGGAAAGATGAAAAAGAACTTTGGCATTCATTATATAATATCTTTCTATAACATCTACTCTTCATAAAAGCATATTACTGTAACAGGTAAGTTTTCGTTGAAATTGATTATTAGTATATGTTATATTTACTCTTCTATAACAGTATTTTGCGGTTAACATCTATTATTGCAACGATATTCTTTATAAAATTACCTATCTATAACAACCTCACTTAGATATCTATATATTTATCTATTATTTCATCATAATGAAAAAGTAATATATTAATTATATTTTAGTAGAGACTAACTTATTGTAATTTCCAAATATCAAAAACTCTTGTTAACTTGGAACATAAAAAATAAACAGATAACGTTGGAGACTTTTTGATTTCTGTCATTTTTTTCACATTCCACCTTACTAATATTGTTTTAGCTTTTAGAAATATTTTATTAATGAAATATGAATCTCATTTGAGAATTTAAAATTAAATAATCTTATTATATCTTCTATAACAAACCAATTTAAACAATTGAGTTTTTGGGCACTTTTTGTCTATAACATTCAAATACATCTAAATGTCACATTTAATTATAGGCGTATAACAACAGTACAACACTATAAATTATAAAAGGCACATAAGATTGACAATATTATTTTTTTATTTAATCTTCTATTAAAGATGGAATTTTTACCTCCTATTGCAAAGGTTAACATCTTATTTATTTTAAATAAATACCATTTTAAAAAATTATATTCTATAGATACATTTAAATGTTTATAGCAAAATATCTAATTTTGGTTACCTCCTACCCCTAAGCCACTAAATACGTTATTCAGTTACACTATTTTCTTTCTCTCTCCATTTTGATACATGTCATTCTCTTCCCTCATTCTTTGAAAATACGATGCTCAATCTCAAAATTTCTCTCACCCACATCACCTACCATTAGTCACAAACGGTGATTTTCAATTTGACTTTTAATTGCGAGCAATCTGCACTCAACTGGCCCACCTTCATTTCCTTCAACCTGCAATACCCTTTCGTAAACTTGAATCAAATCTTCTTGTGCTCTAGAAACTTCCACTACCTCCTCAAATTCTTCACTGTTATTATAGCTTATCCCTATTTTCTTATCTATATTTGAGTCACCAGTGATGATTATAACTCGTTCATGGCAATTTGGTAAAGGATTTTCGAACCGAATTTTGCATCCAGTTTGAGTTTAGAGGTTATTAATTACACTGCCGGTAATTAAACCACAAACAAATATGCAAATTCTGCTACAATGGTAATGCGTGAAAACAGTGAGATTCAGGGTTTTTGCTCGGCGATGGATTCGCCGGAAATTAGGGTTTGTTCTTGAACAAAGACGACGGAGTTTGGGGCTGAGTAACTTGATTTTCTGTTGATAAATTTTAATGTATTTTCAATGTATCACGCTGTATTTTCATGTATTTCATTGTATTCATTGTCTTTTTTTCATTGTAATTCAATGTATCTCGTTGTATTTCATGTATTTCATTGTATTCACTGTCTTTTTTTCCATGTATTTCAATGTATCCCATTGTATTCTATATATTTCATTGTATTCACTGTCTCGATATATGTCATGAATGTATTCATATGTTTTTTTTAATTAATATAATTTATGTATTCAGATGTATTATATAATTTCTCTGAAGATTGCTATATTTTTGGGGTATTCTTCGGTTGAGAATCTTTTCTATAACTGGAAATACAAAATTTGTGTGTTATAATTGAGTTTGTTGATTATATTAGGAGTCTATTATGTTAACTGATTCACTTTCCGTTTAAAAACAGTATAATCCCCTGTTTTCATGTCGTGAATACAACCGAATACAATAATCTGTCCAGCTGTAATCTCATGTTTCACGCCATGAATACAGTCGAATACAACAACTGATTAGTTGGACTTCCCTGATTTATGCCTATTTTTGCTATTGTATTCATGAATACAATTGCTTAAATACATCTAATACATCTTATAATAATAGAAAACGTATCTACAATCCGTAATATAGCAAATGGTATCTATAGATAACTACTTACCACGAAAAGATAGTGCTTTATGAAAATTTCTCATTAAAAAAAGACAAGGAATAAGTGGGCTGATGGAATTGGGCTCTAGTTAGGCAGGTCCATAGAGAGGAACCCGAAGGTAAAAAGGCCCACCATTTGGTAAAGTAAATTTCTTCTCAACGCACTGAGAACCCCTACTACTATATTCTACAAATCCCCCGTACAAAAACAGCCATGCCCGGTCTCATCGTGAAGAAGCTTCAGGAGGATGAGTCAATGTCTGAAGACGACTATGATTCTGACGCCGATGATGACGATTCTGATGACGCCGACGACGGTGACACCGACGACGATGACAAAAACGCTTGCGCCCTAGGTATTTCGTTCTGTTTCTTGCTATTCAATTTTTGTATTTCGTACATTGTCTAAGAATGCTAATTTAAATACGGTGTGCTAGTGAACCTGACATTTTGTGAAATATCGATTGTGACTGCTTTTTTTTTTTTTTAAAGATCACATGTGGTATTTCAAGGGTCAGAGTTTTTGATTGGATGAGCTATTTTGCTGCTACTTACCCAACTTGCAAGTTCAACCCTTTGTGGACAAAGCAAATTATAGAAACTATTTTGGTGTTTGTTTTGGTAGTTTTAACAGTTTAAATGCTTAATGCCACTGCTACTTCAGTTAACTGACCACTCGAGCATGCATTTTTAACTCCCAGAGGAGCGATTGGCTAATATTGAGAGGATGCATAAACAGATATGGCTAGTAATTGAAACAAAAGCCAAGGATAAGGGCATAAATATTACAGAGATTCTAGCTCAGTTTCCAGGTGGTTTGTCCGCGTTCCATGAGCCTGGCCCGACTCCCACTCAAGGTAATCTTTGCCTTCCCTAACCCTTTTTAAGTTTATCTTTTTTTTTTTCCTTAAATAATTTTTTGCATTGTTTAATATTGCTGGTTTAGATATGGTCTTAGTGAACTTGGCATTTTGTGAAATATCTATTGCGATGGCATTCCTTTTAGGGATAATGTGCTATGTCAAGGCTTAGAGTATTTTATTAGTTGAGCTATTTTGCTGCTGCACAGCTAAAACCTTGCAAGACCCCTTTGTAGATAATGTAATACGTAGAAATTATTTGGTGTTTGTGTTTGGCAGTTGTGACAATTTAAATGGTTAATGTTGCTGTTTTCAAAAGCTTGTTAGAAGGAGAAAATAATGCTACTTTAATTAACTGACCACTCGAGCATGCATTTCTAACTCGTAGAGTCATCCATAGAAGAGCGATTGACTAACTTTGAGATGAAGTGGAGGCATACCTTGCTAGTAACTGAAGTTGTATTCAAGGCTATGGGCACTGATGGTACAGAGATTCTCGCCAAGCTAGCCGAGGTTAGAGCACGTCTGTCTGCATCCCATGAGCCTGGCCCGACTCCCGCTCCCACCAATGATGCCCCAGCTCAGGTAGTTGAGGATGTTGTTGCTGATCAGATGACTGTGTTGGATGCCACCACTGTAGATACTGATGACTCCACCTTTTCTCCACCTACTCTCGCACCTGCTGTTTCTACTGTTGATGTTCCTCCTGTTTTTGTTGCACCTAATGCTGCTGCTACTGCTGATACCCCTAATTCGGCTGTTTATCCAGCTCTTGCTTCTCTTGCGCCTGTTATTACTGCGGCTGCTGTTTCTATCCCGCCAGCTGAGGCGGGAGACACACCTATGCCAGACGCATCTGCCTAGAAGGGGTTCTCTTCACCCAACCCGATTTCGCGTGCATAGGAGACTATTCACAATTGTAAGTGGTGGGGGAATTAAACTTTTGTGGATGATTGTAATTAATTGACTAACCCTTCTTCTAGCAAAATATGGTGTTCCTGACAAAAAATTGGAGCTCGGATGCATGATGCTAACAGTACTACTAATACTAGTGAACCTTTTTTAGCTCCCCCTTATATGTTTTGAAGATTTTGGAGGCAAACAAAACGGGGAACTCAGTATATTTGTAAATCTAGACTTGTAGTTTTAGTATGTGATTGGGCACTGTAGTTAGTTTATGTACCGGGCGCTACAGAAAACGCCCTATTTTCTACCAATTCAAAGTGTAATGTAAAGTATCCTTTTGCATAAAAAAGAAAAGAAAAAGACTAACATGTTATGAAACTAAGCTCAAAGTAACAATATGAAACACTAAAATAGACAAAAGTAGAGAGGAAGAGAGAACTTTCTTATTTCATCAAGTGTTTTCTAAGTGTGTTTTCAAGCATATACAATATCACTTCTCTTCCTCTATTTATAGTACTCTATTACATAGAGTGTTACCAAAGAATACCATAAATATGTCGTTGTACTTATCATTAAGCATTTGAGATCATGGAGGAAGATCATGGGGGATTATGGAGTTACAATCATAATTCCATAAGTATTAGAGTAGTTGGAGTTATGGAGATAATGGAGAAGAGTAGTGATCATTACTCATTTGGTGGTTATGGACATCCACCATAATTTTTGTAACTCCCCCTTGGATGTCCATAGATAATGTGCCTCGTTAAAACCTTACTAGGAAAAAATCCTATGGTAAAAAATCCTAGTGAAGGAAAAAGAGTACACATATCATGTAATACGCATTGCTTGATGCCTCATTAAAAACCCTTGCTAGGAAAACTCAGTGAGATAAAATCGTAGCTAAGAGAAAAAGAGTACAAAGCATATTTGCCTTCCCCCCTCCCCCATGATAAAAGCATCGCTTTATTTTTTGGAAATGTCTTTACTTTTCGGAAAGGACGTATTCCAATCCCGCATACCAGTTTCTCAAATGTTGAGGTTGGTAATGATTCATTGAACATATCCACTAAAGTATTAATTAAATAAATTTGTTGAATATCTACATCACCAATCTGCCGAAGATCATGTCTGAAAACAACTTTGGTGAATTGTGATTTATTTTGTCGCCTTCAATATATATTCTTCTTCCAATTGAGATAAGTAAGCAGCATTGTCTTCAATATTATTGAAGTCTTCTTTTCAAAGAAAAGTCACACATCGGTTGTGTATTGTGTGACTTGCTTTATCAATTGTTAGTATATTGACATGACTTGAATAAGTATCAACAATTGACTGCCTTGTGAAATAATAATACGGTAGTACCCTCACAAACAAATAGATTATTTGAAGAACGAACTTCAGAAAATGCCTGCATTTGCATAACCAACAAAACCTTGACAATATTTGTTAGAATAAACAAACTTATATCAATGACTCCTAGTATTCCAATATCTTCTTATAGGAATACAATTATATCTCACTAGTATATTGTTATACTCATGGTCCTAGCAAGATACATTAGTGCACCAATTGCAATAGACACAAAAATAAATCATGTACGTTATGATTGTTCTAATCCACATAAGGATTTGTTGACGCTTTATTTAATAAATTTCTTGAAAACCTTAATATTCTTCAGAACAATTTAAATCCTTCAATGATTTCCATTATACGCATATCAAGTTTTTCATGTATTGCCAGATTAAAACCTGAAATGACTACATCCACCATAGGAGAATATGTCTCTGTATAATCAATGCCATGATATTTACAAATCTTCTTGTGACACAAGTCGTCTTTATGTCTATCGACTTGACTTTTTTCCACACAAGAACACATTTATACAGTCACTGGCTTTATACTTTCAGGTGTTGGGACTATCCGTCCAACTTCACATTTTTCAGGTGAAGTCAATTTTCATTGCGCATTTTTTCATCTGGTCAACATGTATCTATTCAAATTTCAGGACAGATTTGAGCTCAAGATCCTCATCAATATTAATAATATTGAGCCCTACATTATATTAACAATATCGTCGACGATCATTTTATATCGGCTCCATCATTACCCAATAAAGCCATAACTTAATGATATCTATTTATCTCATTATTTTCAGGTACCTGAGCCTCTCCCATGAGGTCTTATAAAGTGTTATGTCGTAGTGCTCTTTTAAAGCACTTGTCTCCTTATTATGACCATCTTTATCATTTGCTCCTCTCCTTCTTCAAGGAATTTTATCTTTGGAACCGTTGGTTTATTACGCTTTATGCGTGCCATAGACTCAATACATCATAAGATTTATTCTATTTTGAGCATTAGAGATGAATTATTACTTGAACTTCAAGTTCATATTTTCTTGTACGAGGATCTAGGTGTACTTATAATAATTTATTTCATGTATTACTTTTTCAGCTACCCATTTTCTGCCCCTATTATTGGGATCACCAACACATATCTCTAGCCTTATTTGGGTATCCATCTTTGTACATTGTGGTAGAACAATTATATATCACATCCATATTTTTAGATGAAAATTATTTGGTTACTCACCCTGAACCAATTGTGATAGGGAGAATTTATCATAACTTGTTGGCTAGATGCGTACAAGTGCTGTTGTATATTAAATAATACATCTCATACCAAATTATTTTTGGGTAGTTTTGTTCTCATAACCAATAATTTAGCTATAATTGGAGGCATACAATTTTTGCTAAATCAACTTGGATTTAAATTAACATTATCAAGATAAATCATCATAATTTACATTCTGGAACTATGCTCTAATAACTTGAGCAAGCAACTTTGCAAAAGCCAAATTGCAAGTTGACAACAAATGCACATGTGACCATACAATAGATTCATCTATTAAAATCATATAATAGTAAACGGTACACATGGCAAGTGATTGAGCCCATATATATCACCTTTTATTCGTTCCAGAATTTAAACCAACCTTAATTGGTATATCATGAGATTAAGCAGTACAAGAAAATTCTTGAAGAATCTCCATTTCTTCAATATATGCCAATGTGAATTATCAATTAATTTTCGCATCATAATTGAATCGAGATAGTCAACCGGTCATGTCAACTAATATTTGTTTCAGTAAACTTCTAGTTTACTTGTGGCATGTGATTCCATCACCATGCTTATACTTGTGTAGTACAAATAGAAGAAAAGTCGAGTAATCTTTCGTGTTTATTCGGTATGATTATAGTAATATGAAGATAATCTATCTTCCTTTCATTTATAATCTCAAAATGCCAATCACTTTGACTAATATATTTAGAATTCAGAAAGTTTCTTTTGAGACTTACTACAATATCAATGTCATGAACAATTTCACTTATCCAGGTATTAATAAATTAGCTCTTTCGGAGCTTTTAATTGATTCCGTACTACAAGATCTTTTGTCACACTATCCATATGGTGAATATCTCATTTACGGAGAAAATCATATCATAATAATTGTTAGGCAAAATATATAAGTTATCACATGAACTATGAACCAACCTGTTACACGTTTTTTACGGACGAAAATTACTTTACTCACTCAACATTTCTAAAATGTGTCTAAGACACACTTCTTTTGCAACGTGGCACGCGCGTGCTTAACAAAAAAAATATAAGTGCGTTTACAATCCTTAGTTAGCTGACAAATGTCAAATTTTAATTTGTTTTCTTTCTTTTTAACATTATTTTATTCCTCTTTGAAACCCCCCAACCAACCAATCCAACCGGTTTTCTTCCTCATCTCACACCATTTTCTTCTCTTGAAAAACTATGGCCATTTATCAATTCCCATACAATTTGAAATTCGTTCAAATCATTAAAAACAATTGAATTATTTCTTTCATAGATCCCTAGTATTTTCATTTTTAGCTTTCTGGTTTTTCCCATTCAGTCTTTTTTCTAGTTTGTTTTCAGATTCAATTTTTTTTCTTTTTTCCCACATTGTCTCTGTTCCCAACTTTCAGAAATTGAATTACAGAGCCTCATTGCCTTCTTCTCGGCACACACCAATAGAGTATATGGATTTTATTTTTCATTCTCTACCCATCTTCTCTTTATCCAACGCCACCATGAACAACCGCATATCAAAGGTTATGTCGAGTCTCCAATCAAATTTTCACGATGAATTGTAATGTGAAATTCATGAATTTGTGAATTTTTTATCTTGATTTTTTTTTCCATAGTTTTCTCCTATTTTTATTGTCGAGTAGTCTTTGTGAGATTTTAGTGGGTCTTCAAATGAATTATAAATGGGTTATTTGATGGTTTTGGAGTGAAACGATATCTTTGATTATTGTAAAATGAGCTACTTGATCTAAAAAAGTTATTTTGGGCTCCTAAATTGTTGAATCTGAAGGTGGCGTGCTCTAGTTTTTTCTTTTTCTGTTTGAGGGGATGCTTTGAAAAAGAGAAAGAGATAGAATATTTCTAAGGGGTATAATTGTAAATTTTAAGTATTTTATTTTTAAAAAAATTTAATAACATGTGTCACGACCTTATTGGTGCGTGGCTTTACACATATTCTGAAAAAATTAGTAAAGAAAAAAGTGGTGTGTCTTTGACACACTTTGAAAAGAATAAGTGTGTAAAGTGATTTTCGCTCGCAAAAAGTGTGTAATAGGAATTTGGTACATAGTTCAGGTGGAAACTTATGTATTTTGCATAATTGTTATGGTCAAAATTATCATAAGCAAAATCATTTCTTACTTTAATTTTGCTTTTAATAACTTTTTATAAGGCCTGAAAAAATATTATTTGGGGTACCGCAACTACGCAACCGATAACATATTATTTGGGGTACCACAGCTATATGCAATGCATGTAGCCACACAATAAGATGTATTCTCTTTATTTCATGCAAAAACCTCTCTTAGAGGTGAGTTGTGTGGCATTCGTTCGATCATGCATTGCACGTCTTTATTCATTACTTTTCACATATTACCACATTCACCTTCAGGAATGGTCTGCATTATCAATGCTTATCACAAGTCACATTCTCTTCAATGAATGGAGCATAATTATCGCGACGTGCTTTATTATTTTTCCTTGCCA